CACGCGAAATATTGATTCAAAAAGCTCCCTTACCTTTAGTACATAGCCACTCTGTGTCCTACGGTCGGTTTAAACGCCGTTTAGTCGACTTTCTTTCCATCGAATACTGAACACTATAATATGAGCATCGGCGAGCATCGGCTTTGTTGCGTAACATTCAAAATATAAGGATTTTTATGGGAAAAGAACCTATCGTTTCTGTAAACTACGAAAATGAAAGGATTTCAATAAAAAACAGCTTACCTTACTTAAAATGTGTGTTACGTCTCTCCTGTGTGGTCCACGGGCTGATTTATGGCCGTTTTATGAGTTTTTAAGTAAACCTTTATATAGAGAGAAAGCCGTTTACATAAAAACCCATAAAACGGCCATAAATCGGCCCATGGACCACACAGGAGAGACGTAACACACATTTTAAGTAAGGTAAGCTGTTTTTTATTGAAATCCTTTCATTTTCGTAGGTTACAGAAACGATAGGTTTTTTCCCATACAAATCCTTATATTTTGAATGTTACGCAACAATGCCGATGCTCGTCGATGCTCACATTTCGAGCTTGGGCTACCTGTGGTTGCTAAAAAATATATCTACGTGTCCCAACTGTTCATCAGTAGGATGCCTAAAATGCGTGCAATTCCACAATTGGTTTCAGCTCCATTAAATCCTTTACCAATTGCAGAACATTTTAGGAGGAGCCACCCACCGTGTGAGCACAGCCGCGGGCAACACACACGAGCTTACATGCATTAATAAGCTCACATTCAACATACAGGAGTATATATGTTGCGGTTTCATGTCATTACTGGTTCATATTTTATCTTTCTTTTTTCACACTCATTTTCATTTTTTTCAAGCCCAAACACAAAGGAAAATAAAACAGTAAGAACTGAAACATAAGGGAAGATTGAACAACAAGATATACACAATTGAAAATTAGATAAACTGCCGACTGCCTATACTTTGATTTTCTATTCTTGCAACTTCCATGTAATTATTGACCTTTTCTACAACAGCAAGACAACCCAGCACCTTTTCTTTTTGCACTCTACTGATTTATTTAATAACGCCATTCATAATTCAGACGCTCAAATTACTCTGGTCTTGATACAGTTTCCCAAATGAACCTAGGGTAGTACGTGTTACGCAGTACATTATAATTATACCCTTGATATTCATCTGTGTACCCTAATATTTCCATTTTATTTTACTCCACAGAGTGGGGTATGTCATTTTTCTTTTTTTGACAAGTTGAGGGAATATCATAATAAATTAATAGTAATTCTCAGTTTTAAATATCCTCTGTGCCCCTAGTCTTCTTTGCAACCTTATAGGCCAGAGTCAGGCAATGCTTTCCACCCCAAAGCATAGCATTCCTCTGGCCCAAGCAGCTGCAAAGAAGATTACTGCACCCTAAACAACAAAAAACTTTCTCCTTAAATTTATTACTTCTTCCATTCTTAAGTCCTAGTAGGGAAACAGTACACTGATCCTCGGTTAGTGTTAGGCTGATAACACTTACCTCGACCTTGATTATTCAGGATATCACAAAAACCTCATCCAATAATTGTTTATTATTAAATGTATTCACCTGATATTTTGGTTCGACAAATAAATCTTTCCACGGGGGCTAAAAAGTAGGCTCATACATGTTTAGATAAGCAGTTTGTCAGTATAACCAAATTAAGTTCCATACATGTATTTTTGTGCCACATCATAAAATTCACGAGTCAGGAAATACACCTGTTCCATTTTTGAAAAATCAATTTGTAACATACAGAAAAAAAACTTGCTCTAACAGTATCCAAGCGTGCTTACTACATGGCCTTTTCTTATTTGCTGCATCTCTGAATTTTATTTTAGGTAAATTTTGGGGGGGTCAAGGGGGAGGGCTTTACGGACAATGTTCTTCTTCGCACTGTCTATGACTGAATACTTTACCGATCAAAACCTAACAACAACGGCAAATGACAGTTTCAAAGGTTGTGTCCAAAAGTCAGTCCACCTGGCTGAGTCGCAAACTAAACCGGTCAGTACTTTAAGTAAAATCACGAATTCCATAATCATGTTTCAAGAACAATACTTTAAAGGTAGTTTTAGTCTGAGACTAAGGTAATGTTGAGGAAGAAACATGCGCAATAGAACAGACGCGTTTATGCTGAGTACTTCGTTAAGAATATTACGTAATGTTTTCTAGAACTTTCTATGACAAGATAAGAACTGAATAAACAGGTTTTTGTCTTTGCGTTATATAAGCAGTTTCAACATACCAGTGTGCGCTCTTTTGTCGTAGATGATCTGTAGAGTTCTCTTAAGTTTCTAGTAGAAATTAAAGTTCAAGTTGTGTTTAAGAAACTTGTGGTTGTCACAGACGTTCAAGTTGAATCTTAACAGCTAAATGATGATGAGTTTTATTACGGATGATCTTGTTTGTCTTACAATGTTTTCTCGTGAAAATGTTTTTTTTAATTAGTCTTTATACTGATAAAACTTCTGTCCATGACGTTTTATCTGACAGCCTGCTACAGACACCCAGTTAATATGGCATGTCCCTTTCCGCCCTTCGTGTCCGTATTATACGGGTTTCATTGTATTGCATTGGGACAAGTAAAGCGTGCATTCATTATTCATTATTCCTTTCGGATTCAACTCCAGAAAATTTCACCACCATTTGACAAACTAAATGAAATTGAATAAGATCGTTTAAGTTTGAAACAGTGTGAATTCACTTTTTCAGTTAATTTTTGTTTTGTTGTTGCCCAAACATTTTGCTACACCATGAGACAAATATCTGCCTTTTGATTTTCATTTGCAGGACCCGCGCAGGGGGAGGGGCTAGGGAGGGGCCAGGGCTCCCCCCAACTTTTTGAAAAATAAATTAAATTAAGTACAGTGGAACCTCAATATAACAAATGCCCAAGGGACTAGCAAAATATGTTCCTTATAACAAGTTTCGTTAACTTATATTAAGGTTATTTTTCATATTGCCTTGTATCTTACTATTACTGGAGTAAACAAAAAAAACAGTTTGTTAGACCGAGGACTTTGTTATAGAGATTCCACTATAATATACGTTTCCATAAAAATAGTATCTGATGTATAGTAAGCCTCAACATAGGCGTACGGGCCGGGGGGGCGAGGGGGGCTGCAGCCCCCTCAAATTTTGGGCAACTCAGATTTTTTGGGCTGCAAGAGAAAATTTGGGCAAAGCCAGCTTTTAAAGATGTTTCCATGTTTTTTTTATTAGTGTTTTGAAGAGATAAATATTTTCTATTTTAACCTGAAGTCGGCGTAATAATCCAGTTACATTCACACGAGACAGTGGTTGCCAAGCACGTGAAAAGTTTGTGGTTATAAGGGAAGGGTATCATATGATGATTTTTTTTTTCATCGTTGGGCGCTGTACAGCAATGGGCTATTTCCAATCGTGAATTGATTACAATAAACTTCTGCCTAACTTCATTTCTAGAATCATCTCTGCTAGTAGAACAGTGTGTTGCAGATAGCATCAGCGATGGGTCTGAAAGTGAAGAAGTGGCTGACTAATTCTCAGTTTAATACGAGAAGAACCTTAATTTTTTTTTAATCTATCAAGCGTTTTAAATTATTCACTAATTTGTTAAAGTAGACCAAAATGTTTACAAAACCGCTAACAAGAGCGCCATGGTACATACTAATCAAATCCTTCTTTGTAGCAATTGACCAAAATTAATTCTCAAATAATTCACACACGTTTTTAAAAAGATTGAAACTGCTATAAGGTGAAATTGCATGTCAAAAGCGCTTCGTTTTCTAGAGATAACGGCTAAACATCAAGATTTTCCTTTTTTTAATGTTTCTCCCAAAATATCCCGATAACGCTCTTACAGATTCTGTTTTAACTTCACGAATATCGAGGCGACTATTGGAGGAAANTGACCCTGAAAAACTTTATCGGGCCCCTTTCGTATGCCGGTACGGCCTATGTTTTTGCATCTTATGGCCCTCTTTTTTCTTCGACTGTTTTTTAAAATTTGGGCAACTTGCAAGAATTTTGGGGGCAAATGGTTTACCGCCCCCCCCCCCCCGGCCGAAAATTGCCCGTACGCCTATGAGCCTCAAAACAACTATCTGTACAAAACTGCACTTGGTCCTAGACTTCTGCATTTTCAAACCAACATTAGGCCACGTAGCATTTGCAGTGATGCGGAATGGTCTTTTTTGATGAAGGTTCTTGATTAAATCTTGAAAACTACTCCATGAACTACGGTTTCTTGAAACGAATTATATCGGCTGATGACGTGGTCTCTGACGCATTTCAATGACATACTAGACAAAATAAAAGGGTTACAGGAACCTACAGTGTAATATGATGATCTGCAAACTTCTAGTGGTGGATGCAGCATGTGCAATCAGGCTCAGCAGGAGAAAGGTACTTTTCAGCCCCTTGAAATTCATAAACATGACTCTGCTCAACAATGGCTCAAGAAAGGTTCAGTAAGCTGACAGTTCTAAACAGCCACAAAGAGAGAACAGCCAAATTAGCTCCCCCACCTCAAAGTAGGTGGTAAACGGCCCCCCACACTTTAAAAACTGCTCCGCGGGCCCTGATTTGACACATATTCTTGAAATTTCCAGGTTTGGGGTCACAATATCCATGTTTTGGGGGGCCCAGTTTTGGGAATGACAGGTCTGTTTGACTTTGAGTTCTCAATATAGCATAATTTTAAGTTTAAAGAGGTAAGTTGAGACAAAATCTAACCTTCTATTTTAGCAGAACAACCTTAACTCAGATGTAACATTTGGCTGCCATGGCAGATCCAGACCTTCAGGCCTCAGTTTGGTTTAAAAATAAGGGGGAGACACCTGGGCCCCTTCCCTGGATCTGCCACTGAGCTGTACGCAAAATGGTTAACCCAGGGACATCCACTGTAGCCAACCACCTGCAGCAAAATAAGAAAACGTTCCCTTCAATTTTTATTCAAGGAAGAACTATTCACCTGTTTTTATGAATCTGCTTTAAACTTTAAACAACAATCACTATTCCTTCATTCTCAGGCATATCATTACAAGCCACAGCAATGTAACCCTCCAGGGTCACTGAAATCCCATTTATAAATCGAATCCATTCTAGCATAATTCTTTGTTCAAATTCACCATCAACGGTGTACATAGCCAGTGCCAGGCGGTCTGTCTGTCTTTCTTTAGCAGCAAGGACAATATGTTGACCTGTCGAGTGACAAGAAATGCGATAATAGCAATCTCCCTTGATTTTGGTATAATTAAATTTGACAAGCTGTTGTCCTTCCACAGTGAATAAGTGGACACAGGAATCACCTGGGTCCACTATCATGATGCGACTATCACAAGTAGCAGTGATATCACTTGTACTGTTCAACACTCCTTGTCCAAAGCTACCAACAAAGTCACCAGTCAGCTCGTGAACATCAACAATATTATCTGCTAACAACAGCATTTTTCTGCCACTCACTGTTAGCCTGTCCCATAAATGGCCTTTGATTGTGGGGTTCTAGTTCTCTTAACAGAAAACACATGCTGTAACTCAGCAGTCTTATTATAAACTTGCACTTCACTCTCCCATTGCTTAGCTCCTCGTTTCTTCACTTTGACCAGCAGACAGATCCTGTCATCCACACCTACAGTTGCAATATCCACAATATCTATATACTTTGTATAGGCATCATCATTTTGAGGATCAAACCGAAACACAAACTTTCCATTGCTATCGAACACCTTCACATATCTTAAGCTGTCTATTACCAGGAAATGTCCCTCGCTGTTTGTAGCAATACTATTTGTTTGCGCCAGCTGGTGCTTTTCGTCACCCTCCTTACCAAATGACCATAGTAAACTGCAGCGCTCCATATAAGGTATATTGACTTTACTTAAAACCTCTTATATTCTTCCATCACGCAGAGGGTCAACTTTATCTTCTCTGGTATCAACATACGGCCACACCCAAACATGACTGCCCTGAACTGCTTGTGTTGCATCGTAAATTATGCGATTTAATTTACATACAATGTAAATTATCTTCCTCCGTTCGCCTTTTCCAAACATATGTCTGACATTAAGAAGGCCCTTCTCAAGCTCGACCTTAAAGCTGTTCTCAACAGCTGGAAGAGAGTGGAGTTCCTGAAGGCATTGTTTACACGCTGGTAATGCTCTCTTTAAAGTGCTGTTCAAGTCGCTCGCAGCTCCCACGGCCTCTGCAGCTGTCTCTAACATTGCCCCTAACGAATGGCTGTGATTCGGTCAAAAGTGTTGAGGGTGTCATTGTTGGGGGCCTTTATTGAGTTTTCACAAGCCATTCTAAATCGCTCTTTTGCTTCCGAAAGCGCTCTCTCCGCTTCTTTGTCACCGTTTCTTCCATAAGCGGCATCATTCAAATACCTGAGTCCTGTTTCAAAGTCGTCTAAAACTGCCCGAAGATTCCTACGGGATAATGCATTCAACTTCAACTTGATGTCTTCAATATCACGAACGATTAGGTCGCGAAATGTCTGTTCTCCTTCTTTTTGCCTTTCTGTAGTCATTTTTCTATCTTTCTCTACAAACGCTTGTTATTATCGCGGACAAAACTGTACCGACCTGTTATGATTAAAAAGTGGTTATTTCTAAATAACCAAATGCGAGATTAAATAACCAAAATGCGAAATTGGTTATTTATTAAATAACCAAAATACGAGATTGGTTATTTAATGATTAGTTATTTATTAAATAACCCAAATGCGAAATTGGTTATTTAATACCAAAATGCAGGCAGAATGGAAAATTGGTTATTTATAAACAAACTGGACAGTTGGTTATTTAGCAAATAAAACATGGACGATTAAAAATCCAAAACAGTGCAAAAATGGTTATTTAATACAGAAATGGTTATTTACCTAATTTGGTCTTAGCAAGTGGCCACGTGGCCCATTTTCCTGCTCAGTTCCCATAACGACTTGCAGACTTGTATTTCCAACATGGCTTCTTCCAAAAACATAGCGCGGTTAAATGCAGAAATGGCTCCGAGCTGCTTTGAAGTTAGCTACTGACCGATACAAATCTGATACATGCCACTACAGACTGTTCACAGTCCTTATTTTTCCGTAAGATCGTCGAGATCGAGCACTCTGCGTTACTGGCTGCCATCTTGGATGAGTGTCAAAACTAACCATGCAGGGGGCAGGGGGCGGTTTGGGAGGAAGCGAGAAAAATAGTCCCTGAGTAGTTTTCACGCTCATCCAAGATGGCTGCCCGTAACGCAAAGCCTATTGCGACAGGATTCTCTAATCATCCTGATATTGTGTAATTCTGTAGGTACTTTTGATCATTGGTCAAGCCAATCTTTGCCCAAAGAGATCTCAGGAGCAGGAAAGTAGCATTTTCCTGGGTATCAATTTACTGAAAATGTCGCGAGGAAAACGCTGGAATAGGATTTCCGAGACCCTAAATATAAAAATTTTCCAGGGGAGCATGCCCCCAGATCCCACTAGGTTGGGTCGCCTTCGGCGCTACAACTTTCCTCCCTACCTGCGTGCGAAAGGTTTATTAGAAGATACATCATTATGGGAGCTCTAAAGTGGAACGGATTATGATAGAAATTATGATAACTCGAAAGAACAGATGGGAGCCAATCTTAATTCTCCAGTCAGCGAGTGATGTGACCAATAAAATTGTAAAAGAAATCGAAAAGAGAGACACTTTATTTGGTATTTCATTCAGTTTTTAGCAAGTACAGAATTCCTTCCTCGCGGATTACATAAGCGTGCAAATTTTCCCGGCCTTGGCACATGGTCTACTTCAAAAGTCAAAAGTTGTAGTTCGAGTTTGCGACGATCCTCCTCGGTTCTGGGAGAATTCTCGACGGTTATGCAAGCCTGACTTTACCTCGGGTTTGCATAACTGTCTCGAATTCTCCCAACCCCTTCACGTGTCTATATCAGGCTATGCCAACACGGAAAACGCCAGTTTTCTATTGCTTAAATGCTAAACACCACACTATAGTATACTGACGCTATAGTAAAAGGGGCGCTAAAGCTACGTTTATATCTTTCGGTACGGCACTTTGATAGGGCTGAGCAACGTCAAGTTTCTTTTATTTCGTCAATTTTTATTTTAAAAAGTTGCTTAAAATTCACGGTTTATTGGTTTTTCCTTAGGGTTTTTTTTTTTGCCTACTTTCGTCAGGAATCTGGAGGGTCTATGATTAGACAAAAAAGAGCTGCAAGAAAGAATCGGTTAGCTTAAAAACTACATTTCTTTTATTTCAGTTTGTAGCTTAAATTTTAAAAATATCCTTTAAAAGGGCGGAGGCGTGTGTGGTCGAGCGGTTAAAACCTCGAACTCTGGATTCGGACGTCTGGGGTTTAAGCCTCGCCCGTTGCCTTGTTTCCTTAGACAAGGACGTTTACTCCACTTCTCCCAGGTGTATAAAATGGGTACCGGCGTCATACTTCTAAGGGGGGGGGCAGGAACGTTCAGGGGAAAGTAACAAGGCATGCTTGCACGCTAAGGAAACCGGGATAAGCTCCGACCGTTTAGGCCTTTGGCTTGTGTGTATCTTTATCATACTTTTGACCTTTAAAAGTACTTCTTTTTTAGATTATTTTTTGACAATAATAAATTGGATTTCCTGAGCATGCAGGACACTATCAGTCTTCATTATATTAAATAGCTCTTTCGCCGGCAAGGAATCAGGAAACCAGGGCTTTTGATCACCCATAAGGAAGGTAATTTCGGAGTGATTTCTCCCGGAGTGAAGCTGTACCGTGCCGATCCTCAGAGAGGGTACTCCTGGGATTTCTTGGTGAGGGTATGCCGCCTGGTTCTCCAAATCCTGACCCTATTTCAGACCAAAAAATGTCATTTTCCCCACCCGTTTCCCGACCAGTCTTCTAAAATCCATATCCGTTTCAGATCTGGCCTTTAGGCAGAAATTATTTCATCAATACTTGGACTAGGGCGCAAACAAAAAATTCTTTAAATGCATTATTTTCCAATTCGCATATTTCTCTTTCTTTCTTATTCATTTGGATTTCAAATGACAAATATGTCATACACTCCCGTAAATCCCTCCAAAATCATACCAGATACTAGACCAAAACGGGCAAAGTGTCAACCGGTTTTCAGACCAAAAAGGCCCAAAAACCATACCCTTGGGATGCCGATCTTAGTGGATTGTTGAACACCTATCGGATAGGCTTCTGTTTTACTCTTCGTGGCAGTGTTAACAAGTGTTCATAAATACCAGCCTGGATCATTTGTCAAAGTCACCATGATATCTTGTGCAGGGAGTGTGGTGCGAAATTTTTGCGATCTTCCAGCGATCCGCAAAATAAGTTCCCGCAAATAAAAATTACCGCAAACATTTTTCCCGCAAAAATTTACTCCAGAGTAAATATTTTCTAGCTTAAATTCGCTACACAAAAATACTGTACCAAGAAATCGTGTCTCTTCAATCACAACTTGTCTCTTTCATTCAGAAACAAAACGGTCATGAACGGTATACAATGAAGTGCTGGTTTATTGTTTGAAAAGATGTATTTCTATTAAGTACTCAATAAAAACGAAAATACTATCAATGCTGGGTACTGGGTACTTTCTGAAAATCCCAAAAATTAATTCCCAGCAAGAAAAACCAATCTGTCCTAATAGCAAAAATTAGTTCTCACAAAACACAAAAAATCGCCAATCCGTAAAAAGAAACTCCCGGAAAAATTTCGTGCCACACGGTAAGTCTTGAACGATCCTAAACCCTGGGTCTTAAATCAAGGTCTTCTTGATGACCATCGTCAACTCCTACCAAATGATTGATTCGAAACCCAAGGACGAAAGAAATCAGATGAGAAATTGAGCATGGGAAGAAGCAAGGGAGGTTACCGCTCTAGAAACTTTAGGAATCGTGTAGCACAGCTTTGTAAGCCCTCGCGGGAGCCCATGGGCTCCCAGCCCATGTAAACTCTTGGGGTGGGAAGGAAAGGGCCAGGGATAGGAACCGAGTCGAGATAAGGTTGGAGTTTGAAACGTTTCAAAAACGAAGCCGTTTTCGTTCCAAATCTCTTAAACGACAATTGTCACTGAATACAACACAGACAGGTGTATTTGTATCAAAAAACACGGCTGCGTGGAAGACGAGAAAAAATCAGGGAAAATAACATTAGGGGCTTTAAGATCCAACGACGCGGACGGCAACGAGAACTTTAAAAAAAAAGGTTTTATAACCAAAACAACAACTTTGCACCTGCATCACGCTTATTTGTACATTTCTTTTCCCGTTTTTGCACGACTACGACGTGGAAATGCCTAATTTCGCGTTTTATAGAGTACGTAAACAAGCAACGACGAAATAGGCTATTTGTCCTATTTCTGTTTCTGAACTTGGATATGGTGCTTAGGAATTCAACTCCAGGAGGGTTCGCTTACATTCGATAAAGTAAGTGGGTAGGGATAATTACAGTAACAGAAATACTTACTTTAAAAGTTTGCCAATACAAAATACACACTTTGTATTGACCGGAAAGCCCTAAACAGGAAACAACTTCCCTCAATGAATGGCTACCTAAATTCACAATAAATAACAAATGAAAAACAACTAAAAGAAAAAATCATAAATACCTAGACATGTGGCAATCATGTACAATATTAAACTAGAATATAATTAAACTAGTAAGAAAAATAAATGAAGAGAATGTAGAAATATCCTTCATATGTAGAAAGGATTTCAGGCAATCCTTAAAATCGTCTAAAGATTCAGTTTTTCTTAAATGTAGAGGCATGCAGAGAGTTCCATGACTTTACTATTCTAAAGAAGTAAGAAAATTTTAAAACATTAGTTCTTGCATATCTAATTTTAAACTGGTAATTAGTATGTCTGAGGTTATATTTACATGTGGAACTGTCTGCAGACACAAGATAACAAGACAGATCCAAATCATATAGGCCCATCAGGAATTTAAAAAGGAAAACTAAGTCCATAAAGAGCCTCCTTGAGGCCAAGGAAAGAAGATTCAGTTCCTGAAGTCTCTCTCGACAATGCCTGTCCTCTATGATCATTTTAGTGGCTCTTCGCTGAACTCTCTCAATTAAGTCAATCGAAAACTGCTGGTGTGGCGACCAGACCTGCTGGGAGGCAAATTCAACGTGCGGTCTGACTAAATGAAAGTATAGTTTGAGCAGTACATGGGGTTGGGTACAAGTACCACAAGTTCTCTTGATCAAACGTAGGACCTTATTAGCTGTGTTTACTTTGGCCATGATAAAGTTATGCCAGGATAGATTGTGACTTATCAACACTCCTAAGTCTTTTTCTTCTGATGACAATGGGATACTGGCGCTCGGTTCTAAGGCTGTAAGAGGTTTCCAATCTCTTTCTTTTGTTCGTGATTCAGAGATGTTTACATTTCTTAATGTTAAATTTCATACCCCAGGTCTCACTCCATCGATATAAGGTGGATACGTCTTGTTGCAGTATGTCTCGGTCTAATTGACCTCGTATAACTCTGCTGCATTTTGCGTCATCGGCATAAAGGGGTAATAAAGTTTCAGGAGATAGGTCTGATCCAATATCATTAATGTAGATAATAAACAAAATTGGACCGATTGTTGAGCCTTGTGGAACGCCAGAAGATACATATTTCCAATCTGAAGAGATGCCTTCGATAGATACTCTGTGCCGTCTATTTGTGAGGTAATCACCTATCCAGTGCAGCAAAGGGTTACGAAAACCTAAATACTCCAGCTTGTATAGAAGCTTTTCATGAGGTACTCGGTCAAAAGCCTTTTCCATGTCAAGGTAGATGTTATCAGTTTGTTCTCCAGCATCTAATGATGTTGCCAAATTTTGCACATATTGGAGGAGTTGCTTAACACAGGATCTATACCTTCTAAAACCATGCTGAGAGGGGGTTCAATCATATTAGGAATTCTGGAGTGAACACATCGCTCAACTACCTTGCATAAGAGAGGTAGGAGGGCAATTCCTCTGTAGTTAGTAACAACATCCCTCTGACCTGATTTGAAAACTGGTGTAAGGTTTGAATCTTTCCATTTTGTAGGAAAAATGACGCTATTTAAAGATTTATTAAAGATGTCTGTAATTGGGCAGGATATTTCTGAGGCTACTTCCTTTAGAAGTCGTGACGTTAAGCTGTCAGGACCAGGACTCTTAGACGGATCCAAATTCTTTAAGATACTTTCAACTTCCTTCACTGAGATAACAACATTGGAGAGCTCTCGTAAAGGTGGTACAATAGGATAAAGTCCAGGTGGTACAGGTTCCTTACAAGGTTTACTAAAAACAGAGTTGAAGTAATTATTGAACAGATTTGTCTTTTCCAGCGTACCAGTAACAAGAGAGTTGCTATTTACATGCTTTTTAATAGCTAAAGGTAATTTCCTCGTCTTGGTTTTGACATTATAGAAGCTTCAGAATTTCTTTGGATTATCCTGAATGTTATCTGCCAGTTGACGCAACCATGCATTGTACTTTGAACGAATAAGAGTTTTAAAGCTCCTCCTCAAGGATTTAAAATGATTTAAGTCTCTACTATCCTTTGTTCGCAGCGCCTTTCTGCTGGGTCTATCTTTCCTTCGGCATAAAACTTTTACCTCTTTATAAATCCAGGGAGGAGTGAATTTATCATTAATCCTTTTCTGGGGAACAAATTAGTTTACGGCTGTCCAAAAGAGATCTTACCAGTTAATCAGATTCGTATTTACGTCGTTGTCAAGCATAGCAGTCGCCCATGGTAGGTTTTGTAAACTTTTCTTAAGCTCCTTCAAATTGGCTTTTTTTCAAATTCAAAACATAATTTGGTAAATATAGGCGCCCAAAGACTAAAAGAACGCAAATTCACTTTTTGAGCGACGTTCTCTTTGCTGTCGCGTCGTTGAATCTTTAAGTCCCTATTATTTACAACGGACACTGCTTTCGGATCACTCACCGTTTCTGGGAACGGAGTCATCTTTCTACCGACGCTCAAAAAAAAGTAAATAGACGCGAAGGCTCCTCAAGACTCGACGAGGACGTCTCGATATCACTTTATGACTACTCTATAACACAACGAGTCATGGAGTGAAAATCGAGTCGTCCTCGTCGAGTGTTGAAGTAACGCTTGAAAATTCGAGTGCCTATTTAGTTTTTTTTGAGCGTCGGTAGAAAGATGACTCGGTTCCCAGAAACGGTGAGTGATCCTTTCTTGTTCTGAGGGACATTTTCTCTAAATTCAACGTTTAACTTGTTTCTTGCCTAATCAACAAATTATCGTAGAAAGTCCACTCCCGCTTAAGGTTGCGTGCAAACGGGCGCCACAACTCCCAACATTGCTGCGCCAACAATGTTGGGAGTTGTTGCGTGTGTATTGGCAGTGATGTGCAAACAGCTGCAACAACTCCTAACAAACTTGGGACCTGCAGTGCTTCGTGGGAAGAATACAACCTATAAGTCTTTGTAATCCATGCGTAATGAGCGTGCGTGGCCCCAACAATGTTGGAAGAGCTGTGCAAATGGATCCAACATTGTTGCGCTATGCTTCGGCGGTCACGGAACTCGGAACAAAAGAAATGTTGGGAGTTGTTGGCTGAAAAGTTTGACCGGTTTCAAACTTTGCGCAACAACATGCAACAGGGTGCCCAAACGGACGCAATATGTAACATCCAACAATGTTGCGTCGATCCGTTTGCACGGGGCTTAATACGCACACTTCGTTATTATACGGACAGCTTTCTGTGCCCGAGGTAAAACCGTTACAATTTCTCAACAAGGACAACCGTTCGAGCGGACAACGGACACTTCTTGCATAAAGCGTGTTGTAACTGTTAAGGTCGGTACACACTAGGCGACAAGTTGCAGCAACAAATCGGTTCGTGTGTACTGGAGAATTTTGTGAAAATCTTTGCCGCTGCAACAGAATTTTGTCTCCGCAACAAGTCGCACAGATTCAGTCTGATTTGATTGTTCGCGAATTGTTGCAGTGACAAAATTCTGTTGCGGAGACAAAGATTTTATTCTGCAGTACACACGAAGCGATTTGTCGCTGCGACGTGTCGCCTCACCTTGTTGCTGAAACTCGTCGCCCGACCTGTACACGGAGTGATCTGTCGCCGCGACGTGTTGCTGCAACTTGTCGCCTAGTGTGTACCGACCTTTATGTAGAGAACGGTTTTTTATTAAAAGTAATCTTTAAATGAGCGACTTTTGAGTGTTTTCATGAACACAGTACCAGAGATAACGGCTTTGTATAGATTGAAGATGTTTAATTTGCAATACCCTGAATACCGACGTCTTGTTTTTCTATGTTTAGTATTTTGATCAAATAAACAGACACCCGATTACAAAAGCCCCTCAGTGTCAGTATCTCAGCAGGCTCCCAGAGCTGGAATTTTAATTAAAAATTAACTGCAAAAACCATGAACGACGATCCTGCTAGTTGTAAATGTTGGATCTCTAGAAAAGAGATCTAATCAGCTGAAATATTAAGAACCAAAAACGAGAAGTCCAAAGACTACTGCAAACCTGATTCAGAACAACGTGTATTGTTTTTCCATAACAATATTTGCCATACCAACCTTCTTCTCTTCGGCTTAGGTGTACGGATGTTACTGAACTAATGTGGAAACGCAATATTATATAGATGGAGAATCTTGCAATAAAAATTGTTTAAAAGGGAGAGGCGAAAATTACAAACAACACAAAAAACTAGAAAAGAATAAAATAATAAGGATATGGATAACAATAATTCGTCACGGCGGTTTAGGCCGCAGGTTCAAGAGTCATGGCCTTATCTATCAAATGCCTGGTAGGGGGGGACTCCCATATGAAAGGGGCGGGGATGCTCGTCGTCTCGCTTGGGGATGTAAATTTCAGATTTTGGTCTCGCTTTTATAGGGTGTCCTAGGCAAAACACCATTATATTTAGCCGTAAAGGTCTCTTTTAGGGTTGCACTGGAAGAAATATTTAAAAATTGTATATTTTCAATTCGTTTTATTTACTCGAGTTTAAAAGTTTAGGGGTCAAAAAAGGTTGGGCCACGCCTAGATTGGTTTCCGTTAAATTTCCGACGAGCATCCCCGCCTCTTTTAAAATGAGAGTCCCCACCCCCAGGGATCAAATGGGACTCCCTAACCTAGTGGGATTAACTGCAGCGACGCCTCAAGGACAGATTTAACGAACACAGACGTGCAGTCGACAAAATTAACATTAAATCTAAACCCACTACTATTTCTGAACACTTGCTCTCAGGCTCTAACCATTCTCATACTTTTCGTTTTTGGTTCCCAGAGCTGGCCTCGTTTTCAGTGTGAGGTTGCGGATCGCTATTTTGCATGCTTGACGCACATCAGCTGTTGAAGGTGAACAAGTGGGGTGGCCCGTTGAATTGCTTGCCTGGCGTGGAAGAGAAGAGAGGAGTGCTATTTTAATTGCGGTGAGTAACAGTTTACTAGCTTATCATAAAGTTTGTCTAGCTGCTGTCCAATATTCCTGAACCCGCCGTCTGAGCGCAGAACCTCCGAAATCATGTCGACAGCTGTACACATTCCACAGGTTAAGAGGAGACGTTACTGCTCGACTGGTAAATTATGCAGCCACACAGTTTTCCCCCAATGTAAGGCCCGGTTCAGACGCCGATCTTTTCATGAGCCGAACCTAATACATTGAATTAAGTACATGAAAAGTTCGGCGTCTGAATCAGTTAGGAACGCCTGTTTCAATTTGGAACGGCTCAGCTGTTCTTTACGCTTAGCCGAGCCGGGAATTTCAACTGTGGAACGACTTTGGAACGGCTTTGATTCAGATGCCGAGCTTTTGATGTACCGAACCGAGGTAAATGCTTAAATTACAATAATGTATTTTGCAAGCAGGTTGTCCAAACGAGCATTTCCCTCCTTTTGAATTTACTTCGGCTGGAATTAAGAGCGGCGTCTGAATCAAGTCAGGTGGTCTAAATAGTTTGGGTCGGCCATAACAGGCGTCTGAACCGGGCCTAAAAGACCATGTTATTGAGAGATTTGGGCTAGGAGACGCTTTTGGTGATTTTTATTTATCTGGAGCATGGTGACCTTTAACCAGTTGAAAAGTACGAAACGTGAAAAATTGTGGCATTGCTCAAGCATCCTTCAGTGTTGTAGGTCTTATAACAAGGCTTTGTTTTGATGTTTGTGGTCTTTGCTTGGATATATGAGTTATTTTGTGAGGGTGATGAGAATTGGGGGGGAATGGCTATTTTTTATTTTTAGGGGGATGTTATGCACTAGT